CGTTAGTTAGATTAATAAAGCATGAAACGATATTTCCTGTCGTGAAATAGACATTAGCAGCGTTGTAAAGGATCTGGGAAGTCAGATGCCAGTAAACTCGCGAAACTATTTTTGCTGTACCACTGTCGTAATTGTGGTGTGCTCCTTGCAGATACGGCCTTTTAATTCTACTGAAATCACTGCATGTAATGGACAAGCGTTGAGAACTTGTTATACGTTTAGCATACATAATGGAAATAGTTTCTCCATGGAAAATTACCATTGATGTCCCACGCTTGCCTCAAGAACAATCTGATTGAAAACTACTGTAGTGAAAAAACCTAAGAATAATCAAAAGCAACACTTCTTCGACAACATATCTTAGAATGGACTTCGTAATAATGCAGTTATTTCTGTAATACCCTGCACGAAACCAACCTTGCTTTATTTCCCACATCAAGAAGGTCATTGATCTCGTCAAATGAGCGTACGACACATTTGGACAGATCTTCCACATATGGCCCCATGATCGGATGTTCTCGGACGCGAAGATTGCTCTTACTTTTGGGGTTAAGTAGATCTCGCACACGCTCGCAGTAGATTTCAATGTAGGAAACCTTGAAAAAGAGGGCGTATCACAGTTCATCAACGTACGAATTTTTCGTGGCACTGCACATTTAAAAGATTAGGGAGTGCAGAGATTCTCACCGATTCCTTTTCCAACAGAAACGCTCACAATTTGCATCATGCCAACTGTCGAGTCAACTGTTTGCTGTTAGTGGTGAATCCGGAGTGGTGACTGCAGTTCGCGCTGCTTATAATGTACTGTTTAACACCACTTGAGGCAGGTTTTTGCAGATATGTTTCTATAGAGGAGAATGTCGGTAGCTCAGGTAACGTAGATGGTCGTTGGCTTGTTCGCTGAGGTGGGCAATCTGGTTGCAAACGTTTCATCACCAATCGAGGTGACATCATCAGTGCACACATAGAGCACAACCACCAACCAACCGCTACGCACAACTACGCGCTGATGATGTCACCTCGATTGGTGATGAAACGTTTGCAACCGAATTGCCCAGCTCAGCGAACAAGCTAACGACCAGATATGTTTCTACCTACTGTGGTCATGAAAACACATTTGGTTCCATTTATCTGTCAGCAGAACTGGAGAAGGAATTTTCATGAAAATGATGCCATGACAGCGTGGTTGTTAAATATGCCCAGAATCACTATGCTTAATGCGGTCTTTGGTGTGGGGTGTGTACAAGTTTCTCAACTCTTGCTTTTTCACACTCTTCGTTGCCCGAACCTTATTGTGCATGAAACAACACTGACCGGAATTCGCTTGAAGGTGGCACACTTCTGAAAGCGTGGATGGAAACTTCTACTGTACAACATGATTTCAATATGCAGTTAGGCAAACGAGACCGCCACAAAAAATATAGGACGTTCTCATACATTTGCGAACAGTTTTGCACATTAGGACAAAAGAGCCCAGCGCTGGGGTAAGGCCTAACAAGGCTCAGTCGATAATTACTGGGAAAATAAATATTCGCCATCTTACGAAGTTGTAGAAATGTGATAAAATACTTTTGCACACATAAACATAGTTTATTCGGAACGATAACACAGTCTGTTAATCATTTGTCGCAATGGAACAAAAATTTTATTTATTTATTTCGAAACATAATATGTCGATTCTCATCCGTCTATTTCGTACAACATCAAAACCTTGCTTGCGTTTTTTTCACCAATGTTTCAGCAGGTGCGTTCTACTTAGTACATCACGTAAACTGTAAGGTTGATCTAGCACTCCATTAAATACCAACGATTAGTAGATAGTCATTAGAATACCAGTCACTATAGGCACACACCATCGCAACAGCATTTTCTTTGCAAATTTTCTTTGAAAATGTTCATCTGTGGAGTTGTTTCAATGGAATCCGAATCTTTTAATCGAGGTAAACGGCGGACGGACAGCACTGCCACATATTATATGGCCTTGCGTACTTACTGCTAGTGAGAGAGGAAAGGGCAACTTCAGTTAAAGCTGTCGAGAAAATAGAAAGAGCATTCTAAAACCGCTGACGATGTGACGGTCTTTCAAAGAGAAAACCTAACAAGGCCTACGGAAAAACGAAACGACCCCCTAGCTAAACTTTCTGATATCTTGCGGAAGTAGGATTTCACCTGCTTGGACACAACAACTGCCGGTTTTGCTTCTCTTGTCAATCAGCAAATCCTATGCAGACTAATCTGATTTCCTCAAATGGTTGAAGAATATATGCCTACCAAAGAGGAGCCTATCTAGGGTAGACTTTGGTGTCTGGCATACATTTGGCTTCAGGGTACCGTAATAATGTACTTGATGTCAGCTGCAGTGAGCCAGGTTTGAGCTGTTGGTTGTGGAGGATGATTCAAGAAAAAATCCATTATGCTCAGGAGCAACTTTGGCTACATTGAAGGGCAAACTTAAGCTACCCTGGATATTACAAACAGTGGGATTCTAGGCTACTTAGCTTTCAAACAACTTGTCAATCCCAAGCAGACATATTGCAGACAGTGGAGAGTTACAAGGGAAGACTGTTTAGCTCGCTTCGTTAATACACCAGGTCGTCGCAGAGAATAAGACGACACATAGCTGAGTGAATTCCAAACTGGTGGAGAATCCTGGATATTTGATACTTTTACACGCAAATGCGAAAACAAGCGTGAATACATATGAGTTAAAAGTAGGCAACTCCATCAAGGCGTGCGATAGAAACGTTGATAGAAGGGGTGAGCTCACAGAGTCCTGATATTCTGAAGACAGTTAAGGACCAAGGAATCTTTTAAAATTTTGTTGACGATATAAAATCACTAACTTTTCGTTGTTTCCAGATGAAAGCCACCTGAAGCAAATTACGAAAAGGTAGCTGAAATCCCTCTAACAGCCCACCATGAATCCCGCTTTTCTCAGCATCCATAAGATAGTTTCCGCGTATCCATTGCTTGTCTACTCTTTTAACCCATATAGGTAGAGCATCCGAGTGCGGTCCGTAGTAGATGGGTTTTATGGTTTTCCCAACTTGAAAGATATTTTGCTGCATCCAAACAGTGTCCCAGGACATAACGCTCTTCTAGAACAAACCACTTATGTAGTATATTCATACCTTGTACGAAATACTTGTACCTATATCCTTCTTATTGCGAAGTTAGGGACAACTCTCTAAATCCCCGAGCAGTCACAGAGACCTGAAAATTTTTTAGGCTTATTGCTGAAAGAAAGTGAAGCCACTTTGAAGTGGATATAATCTTTTCTCAGCATCGTGAAGAGATTAATGGTTTTTCATGTCATCTGTGACTTTCTATGTGAAAAGTAGAAAAGCAGTCATAATATCCGACCTAGTGCAATAAAGAGGCCTAAAAGTATATTGCTTCGCCTGCGTAAATAAACGACAGTGCGGATATATATATATATATATATATAATGGTCTTCCATAAGAA